CCAAGTGCACGCTACAATCAGCACTCAGTAACAGACTTGGTCAGGCATCAGCGTTAGACCAAGTACACTCTATAAGCAGCACTCAGTAACAGACCTGGTCAGGCGTCAGTGTTAGACCAAGTGCACTCTATAATCAGCACTCGGTTACAAACCTGTTCAGGTGTCGGCGTTAGACCAAGTACACTCTATAAGCAGTATTTAGTAACAGACCTGGTTGGGCGTCAGCATTAGATTAAGTGCACTCTATAATCAACACTCAGTAACAGACCCGGTCAGGCGTCAGCGTTAGACTATGTGCACTGTATAATCAGCACTCAGTAACAGACCTGGTCGGGCGTCAGCGTTAGACTATGTGCACTGTATAATCAGCACTCAGTAACAGACCTGGTCGGGCGTCAGCGTTAGACTATGTGCACTGTATAATCAGCACTCAGTAACAGACCTGGTCGGGCATCAGCATTAGATTAAGTGCACTCTATAATCAGCACTCAGTAACAGGCATCAGTGTTAGACTAACTGCACGCTATAATCAGCACTCAGTAACAGACCTGTGCAGGCATCAGTGTTAGACTAACTGCACGCTATAATCAGCACTCAGTAACAGACCTGTGCAGGCATACCTTCTTCTCTGCTATATAAGTTTATGTGAGGACGTGCTGAGGGGTGTGGCTGTTACTCATCTCTCCCTCAGACAGATGCTGGATGGCCATTTCATTAACAACCTTCATTTAGTTGTCTTGTCTTCATATTCTTACTACAGCAGTTGTGTGTGGTGTCAAAATATGCAATCCAATAGGCACCAGAGTCAGACCCAGTGCCCTCTGTGATCAGCACTCAGTAACAGTCCTGGTCAGACACTGTCTTTTCCGCAATGCAAGTTTATGCGAGGACACTTGTGCCGAGGGGGTGTGGTTGTTACCTCTGCCAGCACAGAGCACGGCTTCTTGCCCCTAAAGTTTAGTTGAAGTCACATAAATAGATATATGTCAGCCAGATATTGGATGAACCTCCATTTGAATAGCTTGGCAGTTGTGCCAGGTATAAGACTATAAGGTCCAATAGGCACTACAGTTGGACCTAATGTGCTTCATAATCCGTGCACAACAACAGACTTAGACACACCCCCTTCTCTGCAATACAAATCTGTGTGAGGACACAGAGGGGTGTGGCCATTACTCAGCTCTGCCAGCACAGAGCATTGCCTCCTACTCCTAGAAATGAATGCGCAATTCAGTGTACATTCCGGGCTCATTCCTAGTGTCCGTAAGGTGCTGAGAATGGAACAGGGTGATGGAACAATGTAACTTCAGCTTGCACAGGATAAAATCAATGAAAAGCCTCATTGCCCCAAACTCCGAACCTCTCCTTGGCTGTGGGCGAGTGCCAACCACACGAGCAAATCCCCCCATGTCCATACAGCCTCCACACCAATATAAAAAAGGTAGCGTGCCACTTATTTATTAACAAGCTTTATTCCACCAAACAAAGCATGTTGCAGTTGACGTGTTCCACCCAGACGTACTTAAGAATAGAGATTTTTTTTTTTTTTTTCATGGAGTAAAACTTTTTGAAAGGAAGTTATTGGGGTGCAACCATTTTGCTTTTTACCACATACATGGAACTTGCTCAGGAGTTACATCAGTGACTGCCCAATGGCGGACCCAGAAGAGTCCGTGATCCCAGGAGGTGCATAGAATTTATATGGCTGGAGGAGGGGATCCTAAGGGTAAGTATGTCATAATCCCACATGGAAGAAAAATATATTTGAAATATATTCTAAAAATATTCTTCCCAAATATATTGACATATATTTGAAATGCTACAGTTTTGGCCATATTCATTATATGTCAAAATATATTTAAACAAATATATATACTGCATGTTGAAATGTGTTTTTATTACAAAACATATGAAAAATATTTTTAAAAATACACTTCAAATATACTGTAAGTCTTTAAAAATACAAATCTATACTTTTGGAATGCATTTACAAATATTTGTAAATATATACCGGTATGTTGAAATTACTTTTTTTTTAAAATATATTCTTCAGATTTTTTTTAACATATAAAAAAAGTCATTTTAACATATATTTTCATATATATCTGTAGATGCATTCCAAAAATGAAGATTTGTATTTTTAAAGACTTACAGTATATTTGAAGTGTATTTTTAAAAATATTTTTCATATGCTTTGTAATAAAAACGCATTTCAACATGCAGTGTATATATATATATATATATATATATATATATATATATTATATGTGTATATGTATGTATATATATATATATATATATATATATATATATGTGTATATGTATGTATATTATATATATATATATATATATATATATATGTGTATATGTATGTATTTATATATATATATATATGTTGATATATATTGAATATATATACATACACACATTATTATATATATATTTCAGATATATGGCAATAAATTTGGGAGGAATATTTTAAAAATATATTTCAAATATATTTTTCTTCCATATGGGATGGCAAAAGCCTGCCACCCAGCAAGCAGAAAAGTTACGATTTGTAAAAAGCCTTGGTGGACTCTAAGGGGAAGGGTGTTGACCTGCATGCCTGAGATTTCAAGCATCATTCAGATTACCATATTGGCAAATTAGATGTAAAATGACCTTTATTAGTCTTTAAAAATACAAATCTATACTTTTGGAATGCATTTACAAATATTTGTAAATATATACCGGTATGTTAAAATTTTTTTTTTTTTAAATATATTCTTCAGATTTTTTTTAACATATAAAAAAAGTCATTTTAACATATATTTTCATATATATCTGTAGATGCATTCCAAAAATGAAGATTTGTATTTTTAAAGACTTACAGTATATTTGAAGTGTATTTTTAAAAAATATTTTTCATATGCTTTGTAATAAAAATGCATTTCAACATGCAGTGTATATATATATATATATATATATATATATATATATATATATATGTGTGTATATGTATATATATATATATATATATGTTGATATATATTGAATATATATACATACACACATTATTATATATACAGTCAGGTCCATAAATATTGGGACATCGACACAATTCTAACATTTTTGGCTCTATACACCACCACAATGGATTTGAAATGAAACGAATAAGATGTGCTTTAACTGCAGACTGTCAGCTTTAATTTGAGGGTATTTACATCCAAATCAGGTGAACGGTGTAGGAATTACAACAGTTTGCATATGTGCCTCCCACTTGTTAAGGGGCCAAAAGTAATGGGACAGAATAATAATCATAAATCAAACTTTCACTTTTTAATACTTGGTTGCAAATCCTTTGCAGTCAATTACAGCCTGAAGTCTGGATGAGCAGATAAAAGGTCCAAAGTTCATTTCCAGTGTGCTATTTGCATTTGAAATCTGTTGCTGTCAACTCTCAATATGAGATCCAAAGAGCTGTCACTGTCAGTGAAGCAAGCCATCATTAGGCTGAAATAACAAAACAAACCCATCAGAGAGATAGCAAAAACATTAGGCGTGGCCAAAACAATTGTTTGGAACATTCTTAAAAAGAAGGAACGCACCGGTGAGCTCAGCAACACCAAAAGACCCGGAAGACCACGGAATACAACTGTGGTGGATGACTGAAGAATTCTTTCCCTGGTGAAGAAAACACCCTTCACAACAGTTGGCCAGATCAAGAACACTCTCCAGGAGGTAGGTGTATGTGTGTCAAAGTCAACAATCAAGAGAAGACTTCACCAGAGTGAATACAGAGGGTTCACCACAAGATGGAAACCATTGGTGAGCCTCAAAAACAGGAAGGCCAGATTGGAGTTTGCCAAATGACATCTAAAAAAGCCTTCACAGTTCTGGAACAACATCCTATGGACAGATGAGACCGAGATCAACTTGTACCAGAGTGATGGGAAGAGAAGAGTATGGAGAAGGAACTGCTCATGATCCTAAGCATACCACCTCATCAGTGAAGCATGGTGGTGGTAGTGTCATGGCGTGGGCATGTATGGTTGCCAATGGAACTGGTTCTCTCTTGTATTTATTGATGATGTGACTGCTGACAAAAGCAGCAAGATGAATTCTGAAGTGTTTCGGGAATATTATCTGCTCATATTTAGCCAAATGCTTCAGAACTCATTGGACGCTTCACAGTGCAGATGGACAATGACCCAAAGCAGACTGTAAAAGCAACTAAAGAGTTTTTTAAGGGAAAGAAGTGGAATGTTATGCAATGGCCAAGTCAATCACCTGACCTGAATCCGATTGAGCATGCATTTCACTTGCTGAAGACAAAACTGAAGGGAAAATGCCCCAAGAACAAGCAGGAACTGAAGACAGTTGCAGTAGAGGCCTGTCAGAGCATCACCAGGGATGACACCCAGGTCTGGTGATGTCTATGCATTCCAGACTTCAGGCTGTAATTGACTGCAAAGGATTTGCAACCAAGTATTAAAAAGTGAAAGTTTGATTTATGATTATTATTCTGTCCCATTACTTTTGGCCCCTTAACAAGTGGGAGGCACATATGCAAACTGTTGTCATTCCTACACCGTTCACCTGATTTGGATGTAAATACCCTCAAATTAAAGCCGACAGTCTGCAGTGAAAGAACATCTTGTTCGTTTCATTTCAAATCCATTTGTGGTGGTGTATAGAGCCAGAAATTTTAGAATTGTGTCGATGTCCCAATATTTATGGACCTGACTGTATATTTCAGATATATGGCAATAAATTTGGGAAGAATATTTTAAAAATATATTTCAAATATGTTTTTCTTCCATATGGGATGGCAAAAGCCTGCCACCCAGCAAGCAGAAAAGTTACGATTTGTAAAAAGCCTTGGTGGACTCTAAGGGGAAGGGTGTTGAACTGCATGCCTGAGATTTCAAGCATCATTCAGATTACCATATTGGCAAATTAGATGTAAAATGACCTTTATTAGTATTTATTATTGAACGATCCTTCTTTGTATTCAGTCCAACCTGACCAAGGAGCAGAACGGCTTCAAGATCACCTTGAAGACCCTCGAAGACAACCTTCTGTCTCGCCTATCTTCTGCCTCTGGGAACTTTCTGGGGGATATCGAGCTGGTGGAAAACCTGGAGATCACCAAGAAGACAGCAGCAGAAATTGAAGAGAAGGTAAGGCTTTAGACTAGCCTCAGCTTGGGCAAGGTGGATTCTAATTGGTTAGTATGGCTTAGCCTACTACTATACTTTTCTATATTGGTAAGGATAATGGTGAGACCTGACCCAACCGCCTCATGTCTGAAGGTATCTAGATGTTGCCGTCCCCATTTACAGCTTTTATCCCTTCTAGGTCCAAGAAGCCAAAGTGACAGAAGCCAAGCTGAACGAGGCGCGAGAACACTACCGCCCAGCCGCTGCCCGCGCCTCTCTCCTCTACTTCATTATGAATGACCTCAATAAAATCCATCCCATGTACCAGTTTTCTCTGAAGGTCGGTGACTAATGTCTCCAATATAGTCTTGAACACATCCCTGTTATGTCTTGTTTCATTTCTGCCAATCTTATGCCTCTATCGGTTTCATATTTCATGTACAGGAATTATATCTGAGACTTTCATATTGCTTTGCAGCAACTGGGCTCAGCTTTTAATAACGGCAACTAAACCTTAAAGCAAGTAGGGTTATTACAGGTATTTGTGTATCTCCCTGTAGATCATCGCCTGCTCTGCCACAGAAGTACAACAGAAAAGAAAATATAGAAAAAACACCTTCAATGCATGCCTTCCAAACTATTGCTTGGGTCATTCGGTGTAATGTCCCAATCTTTATTGGGAGCTTAAAGCTGAAAGCAGGCTTGCAACGGCAATGGTTTTCGACAGGCATGAGATGGAGGTTCTTAGGTGGGTTGCAGGAGGGAGATAGCTCCGGATGAGCATCCTTTCAGTTGTATAACTGCTTTACTATGAAGAATGAAACTCCATTTTTCTCTGAAGGTGAATGAATAATATAACAGAGGGTAGAAAAGTGTAGAAATGTTTTGTATTCTTTAAATATATATTGGCTGAAAGGCGGTTTAGCTTTCGTGGAGGTCTTCTTTAATGCAGGTCTCCACTAAAGACTCTGTGTATCAGACTGATTTTACACATTTATGTCACATTTCAATATTCTGATGATAGTGCCCCCTATGGACTGTACCCAGATGCTGCACATGTACCATGTTAGGAGATGGACTGTTTGCTTGATAAAACATGGATACTGTCTGTGTTCTCTCCCAGGCATTCAGCGTGGTCTTCCAGCAGGCTGTACAGAAGGCACCAGCAGACGAGGTCCTCAAACAGCGTGTGGCCAATCTCATAGACAGCATCACATTCTCTGTGTTCCAGTACACAACGCGGGGGCTGTTCGAGTGCGACAAGCTAACTTACACGGCTCAGTTGGCCTTCCAGGTAAGATGGTTACCTATTACTATGGTGCTTATCCAAAATATCTCTCATACCTGGAAGAAGGGATTAACTGTCCACCCATGAGGAGCGTTTACTGTTCAACCAAGAAAGAAATAAGGGGAGACCAATGAGAAACTATGGGGTTATGTTTGCCCAATGAGGAAATGGAAGGTAACTTTTCAAGTAATGAAGAAATAGGGTTAACTGCTCATCCAATGGAAAAAATAAGGGTTCACTGTTCATCCAATGAGAAATACTAGAGTAACTGTTCATCCAATGAGTAAATGAAGGTTTACCGTTCACCCAATGAAGAAAATGAGGGTTGTGTTCGACCATTGAGGAAAAAAGGGTTAACTGTTCATCCCATGAGGAAATGAAGGTTAGTTGTTTAACCAATGAGGTAATGAGAGGTAACTTTTCAACCAACGAAGAAATGAGGGATAACCACTCATCCAATGGGAAAATAAGGACTCATTGTTTATCCAATGAGGAATATGGGAGATAACTGTTCATCCAATGAAGAAATGAAGTTTAACTGCTCATCCAATGGGATAATGAGAGTTCGCTGCTCATCCAATGAGGAAAACAAAGGTTAACCGTTCATCCAATGGGGAAATGAGAGGTAACTGTTCAACCATGGAAGGAAGGAGGGTTAGACTGTTCAACCAATGAGGAAATAAGAGTACACTATTTATCCAATAGAATATAACGGAAAATTGACCAATAAAAAAGGCTTAACTGATAAACCAATGAAAAATAAAGGTTAAAGGTTCAACCAATGTGAAAATATGGGTTGAGTCCGTAAGCAACAGCTGGAAAAAATGGAAAGGTTTCATGTTCGTTGGCCAAGTTAAAGGTAGACATATCAACCTGCATATATATACCACCTTGCAACAGGTGTAGTAGACATAATGTGGAATTATCTGGTCCTGGGGTAAGAATTGATCTATTAGATGATGGTGGAGATAGATGTCTGTATGGAGCATAAGAAGGAAAACTCAACCAGTGTGATTGTGTTCATACCATCATGATGTGGGTCCCTTGATGGTGAATATCTGTACTGTCTACCGTACATACAGTAATTAACAAATTATTATATAGATATCTATTTTGTTATTATATTGAAGCAGTTGGTGATCTCTACACACCAGTCCTTCACCCTTATTTCTCAAGTGGAAGCCTCGGCATGTTTTTATCTTTACAATTATTTAATTTGGTGGTGGAAGAATTGTCACCCAAAAAAAATATACTTGTAGGGAAGAAATACAAGAAAGACCACATGAATATACATTCATGAACAAGTTGTACGGAAATTGTGGTCACCCCAGCTGAGGCTATACAGGGACTTGACGCTTTCTCTTTTCTGGTGAGATGCAAAAGACCCTACCATGGACAATAAAAGTCATCTTGGGTCTTCTATAAGAAGTCTATCTGTGGGTTAGTGTGGTACACTGTAGAGACCTGCAATGGTTTGCAGGTTATACCCGAGACCCTGAGGCCATATTCAACCACCCTTCCTCAAACTTGCTCCAATATACAGTATAGGACCTCTGTATGGGATCCCAGTAAGCTGGTTGGGATTGAGCAATGGGAAGCCTCTCTAATACACTTTTTTTTTTTTTTTACCGTTTTCTACATCTCTCAGATCCTGCTGATGAACAAAGAGATCAACACAACCGAATTAGACTTCCTTCTGCGGTACCCTGCCCAGCCCGGCCTCACCAGCCCAGTGGACTTCCTCTCTAACCAGTCCTGGGGTGGAATCAAGGTGAGATGGTTCTCAGCACTTTTCTTCCCCCACTTGCATGTCTTTGCTGTGCATTATTCATGTACCTGGCCTGCTCTTTACATGTCTGTCCCCTCTGGTGATTCTCAAGGACATTTAATCTGGGACATTGCTGATCACATAAGCAACTGCTATTCCATGGTTTGATTGGTAGTTTCCTAGAAGAGGAGATGTCCTGGGGCCATAGATGAAGCCGCAGGCTTGCAATGACATTAAGTATCCTCCATAGGAAGGTTTGCATACAGCTGTTTGTTTAACTCTATCTCTCCCCGTACTGCTCGTGTTTCGTACACATGTGGAGAGCAGTTTGTTATAAAGTCTCTGTGGTGTGGTTAACAAAAGAAATGGTCAAGGATTTCAGTATGCTCCCCGGTGCCAAAACCACTAGGAAAAGGTCAGAAAGAATCCAATGGCTCCCTTTCTTAAAGGATCCATCTACACCGGGGATAGGCAACCTTTCAGAGGCTGAGATCTACCTGGACAACATGGAGGAAATAAAAGATCCCTGGGAACCTGGGAATGGGGGGTGGGTTTGAGTGGATGGGGCCCTTTAAAAAAGAACACTATCAAGCTTCCAATACAAAGACAGCATGAATAACACATAGTGTGTAACACCTGCCCCCTTTCACATCCCCCCCATAGCAGTGTCTTCTGCCCCCTTCACATCACCCTCCCTCTGTAGTGTCCTCCGCCCCCCCATAGCAGTGTCCTTCCCCCCCCCCCCCTCCCCCTACAATAGTATCCTGTATCCCCCCAATGCATTGTCCTCTGCCCCCTTCACATCACCCCCCCCCCCCACACACACACAAACAATGTAGTGTCCTCTGCCCCCAATACCAGTGTCCTCTACCCCCCTCCTCCCACAGTAGTGTCCTCTACCCCCTCCTCCCACAGTAGTGTCCTCTGCTCCCTTCACATCACTCCCACTGTTGTGTCCTCTGCTTCTTATAGCGGTGTCCTCCGCCATCTGCACCCTACCCCCCCCCACTGTAGTGTCCTCTACCCCCCCTTCCTGTAATATCCTCAATCCCCCCCTCCAACACAGTGTCCTCTGCCCCCTTCACATCACCCTCCCCTTCCCTACTGTAGTGTCCTCTGCCCCTCCATAGCAGTGTCCTCTGCCCCAATTTACATTATTGCATTTTAATGCAAACATTACAACACACTAAAACGCATGTGTCCAAAAAAATTGTATCTGTTCCCATCTCGGGGCTGCAGTGTTGTACGTTTTGAAAATAGACAACATGTCCATTTTTTTTTCTGTTTTTTAGTACCTTTGGAGGCCCATAGAAGTCAATAACAATGAATCGAAGTGCATGTCATTTGCATGTTGGTAACAGACAAAACCCTGTGTAACGGAACCGGACCCCCAGACCACACTTGGGTATTTTCCGTTATACTGCAGCTTCCCTGTCCAAACACAGATCCCCGGACACCACCGCTGATCATGCAGGAAATAAGACAGCACCCGACTCTTCTTAAAACAGGAAGTCAACTACTTTATTCTTACACACACACAAGATATATACAGAGGGCGGGGAAACACAACCAGGGACAGGAAAACACATCATCAGCCCGACCCATCAGTGGGAAGGGCTACAGGAAACACATCATCAGCCCACCCCATCAGTGGGAAGGGCTACAGGAAACACATCATCAGCCCATCCCATCAGTGGGAAGGGATACAGGAAACACATCATCAGCCCACCCCATCAGTGGGAAGGGCTACAGGAACCCCCCCCAACCAAGACACATAACAATGGGATGCAGCACATGGCAGAGGACAATGGACAGCCACATGCAGAGAACAAAGGACAACACACCAATACACAATATACATTCACACCCTGTACCCCTTAACAGGCACAGGGTGTGTTAAACATAAGAATTTGGGAAGATGATACAGGGGTCCCCCCCACCCCCAAACGTCACTCCCGTCTCACTCTGGTCAATGACTGTTAGCTCTATCCACTCCATATCTTAAAATCAAAAACGCATTAAAAATGCATATCAGCACACAAAGGGGAGGAACGTTGACACAGGACAACTGCCCAATGCACCTTTAAACACACATAGATCTAAATGGACCCTTAAAGTGGAACTAAACTGAGCAATACTTTCTCCTCCAACAATTCGATGTCCTTAAGGTTCCTCGTCCGTGCCAAAATGTTCTCCTCCGTTTCTTCCAGGTGCTGGGTCTTAAGCTGACTTGATTGGCCAGCACAGGATGGCGTAACACCTGCTCATGCGCAGCAAGGCACCATGTCGAGTATTAGACATGTGCAATTTATTTCTTTACCAATTGAAATTTGGACAAAATTTTCATTATTCAGAGATTCGGATGTATACAAATTTCTGAATTGCAAAAGTAACGAATTTCAACTAATTTGAAATAAATTATAGCGAAACGAAACAATGTAACAAAATAACAAATTTGAACTAGAAAAATTAAAAATTTAATTTGAATTAAGAAATGAATTTGAATTTTGAAATGGAAACATATTGCAATAAATACAGTAAGGCACAAACGTGAAATAGGATGATGAAAACAACAGAAGAAAAATAGAATAGAAAAGAACAAATCTAGCCGTCTTCCGAAATTTTTTTAGCACTTTTTTTCTACTTTAAGCCCTTTTAAAGTGAAGCTCTCAGACATTTTAAGACCCACTAACAGATGCCAGATATTGCCTCTCACGTTGTTGTCATCAAGAGAGGGAAATCTTCCAATGGGCACACTAGTTCTGGTGACAACCAGGGATTCCCTCACTTTGGAGGGATTTCCTCTTACCTCCCGTTGTGGCTGTGAGACAGGAAGTGAAGGGTAATCACTCCAATGGGACAGAGATAACATTAAAGTGGTTGTAAACTCTTACATGTACCTAGTGAAGTGACCGGCCTCAGGTGATACACAGATTAAACAAATCCTCCTACATAAGTTGTGCCTGTTTATCTGCAGTCTTCTCTTCTCTACATTCCTTCAAAGTCCAGAATTTATAAAGCTTGTCTGAGCTGTCAGAAAAAAGGAGACAGAAAGCTGAACTTACTCTCAGTAGGGAGAGCTCTGAGAACTGATTGGAGAGAAGGGACACACCTCCCTCCACACAGCACACAGGAACTGTCAATCACAGGCTGTGTGCTGGGGGTTCCTCCCCTGCCTTTTTTTTTTGTGTCAGAAAAACTTGACAAAAGTGATTCATGCTGATAGAAGAAGGAGGCAGCAGATAGAAATTACACTTAGTGCTCTGGACTGAGACATGTACACACTATAGAGGGATATGCTTTGTTCATATTTCTTGTCTGAGGTTTACCACCACTTTAATGAGCAAAGCTGACCATTGTAAGCACCCGGGTTGTGCTATATGGTGTATCCCCACCCCTGTGACTGTCACTGGACAACTTGGCCAATATGTAAAGGTGGAGGAAAATTTAAAGTACTAAATCCACAACAATAAAATCAGTCGGTATATGCAGTAAAGCATGCTTGTTATACTCACTGTGGAACCTGAGGGGTTAATCCTCTGCATTGTGTAAAAAGGCTGTTTGATCCTGACTTCTCTGATCCTCCCATTCTTCCAGTGTCCCCCTCTCATCTTCTAATAAGACATATTGTGTGGAGTCACTCTGCACATGCTCAGTTTGGTGTGCATTGCTAGAGAGGTTTTGTTTTTCTTGGGAGAGTGCAGGTGATCAGCACAGGACCAATCAGCACTGTCCAGACAGAGGCCAGGGGTCCTGCATCTTCCTAGAGCAGAATGAAAGCTCCTCCTACAAGCTTTAACTAGTGCTCTGCTGGACACTGATAGAAGTCACAAGACTGCTATATACTGCTGATGGGAAAAGGTATTTAGCAGTTTATATTTACTAAAATAATTGCATTTCCATGTTCTGTGTACTGTACTGTGCGGGGTCCGGGGAGACCAGATATAGTGAAATGCAGATATAGTGAAGGGTCCGGGGAGACCAGATATAGTGAATGCGGGGTCCGGGGAGACCAGATATAGTGAATGCGGGGTCCGGGGAGAACAGATATAGTGAATGCGGGGTCCGGGGAGACCAGATATAGTGAATGCGGGGTCTGGGGAGAACAGATATAGTGAATGCGGGGTCCACGGGAGACGAGATATAGTGAATGCGGGGTCCAGGGAGACCAGATATAGTGAATTCAGGGTCCACGGAGACCAGATATAGTGAATGCGGGGTCCGGGGAGACCAGATATAGTGAATGCAGGGTCCGGGGAGACCGGATATAGTGAATGCGGGGTCCGGGGAGGGTCCGGGGAGAGCGGATATAGTGAATGCAGGGTCCGGGGAGACCAGACATAGTGAATGCAGGGTCCGGGGATGCCATTTTGAAGTCCTCAAAGAATTAAATCAGGATGTCAGAGGTCCTCCATCTGATGGAGACTGTAGGAGACCTGAGTACTCCTGATTATACAAAGAGTACAAACTGTCACTGCTGACTGTCCCCATCACCCCAAAAAGTCTGTCTCCCACCACAGACAGCCCTATCTAATATTGGAAAATAACAGAACATTATAAAGTTAAAACATAAATGCAGCCAAAATGGGATTTTATTTTTCACCAGGCTAGGGAGATGTTAGACACTCTGTCTGGGTTTTTTCACAGTCTCTGTTCTTATTGGGGGTTGAGATTTCCCCTTACAGCATTGCACTCCCATTTTTGTCAAGGAATCAGCGACAGGTTGACGAGAACTTCTGATAGGTTGTAGGGGACTGTTGACAGGTGGGAGAAAACCTCTGACAGGTGGGAGAGGACTTTTGACAGGTGGGAGAGGACTTTTGACAGGTGGGAGAGGACTTTTGACAGGTGGGAGAGGACTTTTGACAGGTGGGAGAGGACTTCTGACAGATGGGAGAGGACTTCTGACAGGTGGGAGAGGACTTCTGACAGGTGGGAGAGATCTTCTGACAGGTGGGGAGAGGACGTCTGACAGGTGGGAGAGGACTTCTGACAGGTGGGAG